TCTCCTGTTTTCTCCGATGCCTTGCTCTTTAGTATGGCTGCTAATTATTTTGGTGATTGCCATCCCTTGAGATGCCTTGCTCTGTTGTAAGTGCTCTGTTGACCACTGTGGTCTGCATATCCCTGTCCACAGTTCCCACAGTTAAACCCAGTCTAATCATACCTGCTATAGCCACTATGATTTTGATCACCACCACCGGCACTGCTGTAATTTCCATATCCCTGATCATAATGATTACTAAATCTTTGGTTCTAGTTTTGGCCCTGACCTCAGCCATGAACTCTAGGCCCCCAGTTCCGGTCCTTTTCCTCCTTTTTGTTGCTCTGTTGCTGCCAATTTACCTCTTTGGCTTGTGCAACTCTGATTTCACACCTCCCAGAACCAGTGTGATGGTGTCTGCATTCTAACAATTTCTTGACTAGCTCTTCATCTGTGTATGTATAAAACGAAATCTCCTTTCATTTATTTTTGTATCCCTGGGAAGTTCAGTAGTTTCAATCTCTCCAAAGCCTCCAAAATATGCTTCAATTTGTTCTTCAGAAATATCTGGCTCCCTAATACCTTTTTAGAGGGTTCTTTCCCAATCTTTGACCCTTTTGAGTTCTATCAATTTGCCATCCAGTTTGTGTTTAGTTCCAAAACCTTATCAGTGGTAGCAGCATCTTTGAAAACTATTAAATCCTCTTGATCTTCCACTGACTGGATCTGTTTTAATTGTGCAGCCTACAACTTCCCCAAATCGAGACAAATATTCAGTCAGATCTTTCTTGCTTGTATCTCTGCACAAGCCTCCAATAAACATTTTCCTGTCATTATGCTGGTTCGTGCTCACATTGATACTGGACCCCTCAGCAAACTCCTCTGTATTGCTACATCATTCATGTTCTCCATGGTGGCAGAGTCGTCGGCAGGGGCAGGTGGACGCACGGTCCAGGTTGTGGAGATGCTGGCAGCAGCAGTGTTGTATGGAGCTCGATTTAAAATGGTGGCAGGAAAGCTAAAATTTATATTTACTGTTTTTCATGCCCTATTTAAAAAGTTAAATTAGTTTAAAAAGAATTGCTAGTCATGGAAGAACTCTGGTTGTTAACTAGTATTCTTTGAAGGGGGTTCAAGTTGGTATAGACATGTCCTGGTACTCTTCGGGTAACATGCATTCATATTAAGATTGTTCTAATCACTAAGATTGCATTTTTATTTTAAAAGATGAATACTACCCTTTTCTAGTAATCAGAAACTTTCCTAGACTCCTAAACTAGAATGTTATAATACCATGAAAAGCTACTTAAGTATATAGCAACTCAAAGATTTATATCAAAAAAGTTTCTAGAAAAAAGTTTTAAAAAGAAATACTAAATATTAATATTAAATATTAATAAAAGTGTTTCTATGATATGTGAATTACCAGAGTTGAATGAATTCAAGTTAGAATTAAGCAATATTTTTTCACTTAAAAATTTACTAAAGAGATTTAAAGTTTACATATTAGCTTTTTTCATTCTATTGGTTAATAGTAAGGGCATCTTAGGGGCTGGGGATCTAGCTCAGCGGCATAAGCGCCTGCCTTGCAAGTGTGTGGTCGTGAGTTCGGTCCCTGGTACCGATAAAAAAGAAAAAGATTAAAAAAAATAGTAAGGGCATCTTTTTGTCTATTTATTACATCTTGACAGATTCATCAAATTGATCATTTAGTGACTAATGGTGAAGAGATGGAAACTACAGTCAATTCTGTATTACTTAAAATGTGAAGCCAAAAGTTGTATTTTTCAGATGGAGATTTTTGTGATTTCAAAATTTGAACACTCTATTGGTATATTCCTATTACTCATATCCTGAAAAATACGCAAAGCAAATGGAAAACAGTTTTTTTCAGTAATTAGTTATACAAAATAAAGTTACTAAAATTTTAGCTTAATAGTTGTGAAAGATCACACTGTAGTCTAAACACAAATTTTAAATTATTTGCATTCTTCTTTGTCTCTTTTTGTAGCCAGCTCTCAATTGTATGAAATGCCCCTTGTCTTTAAAATCAGGATTAATGCTCAAATATGATACTGATGACAGAAATGTGTAACAATGTAGGGATTTTAAACATTCTCAAAACAAAAGAAATTTGAACTATATATAGAAAATACTAAAAAATTCCCAGGGTCACAGAAATTGGTAGAGTTGTCATAAAAAGTCTAAAATATTTTAGAAAACAACCAATTGAAAGTGACAAAGAAATCTATAGGAATAGTATATTTTTTCCACATGCCATCTCCTAACATCCAAAGTACTAAAGCTGAAAAGTCATGTAACTTGTTGATAAAATACTTCCTTCCATGAGTTTCATACACAAGGGTGATATAGGACACGAGGGAAGTTAACATGAATAGGATGATATTTAGAAGATGAAATAACAAATGCTGTATTTTCTTATTCTGCTCTTTCTGCAGAAAGACATTTAAAATCTGCTATAATCAGTGGCAAATCAATATGGGGTATAGCAGCCTGTGAGATCACATTTAGCTCTAAGCATAATTTTTTTTTTGTCTTTTTCTTTTTTAGCGGTACCAGCGATCGAACTCACAACTGCCTGCTTGCAAGGCAGGCACTTATGCCACTGAGCTAAATCCCCAGCCCCGCCCTAAGCATAATTTTTTACTGAGAAAAATATAAGAGAAATAATTTATATTATCTATTTGATGAGTTTTTGCTATTATACTTTCCTTTATTACTTTGAAAATGGTTCCCTTTAATTCTCTAAACATAGCCCGTTGAAAGTCTGCTGAACCCAACACCTGGCCTTCCCTGAGATAGTTTCCAGAGATTTAGTTTTCATGTGTATGAATCATTCTGTTGTATTTTTTAAATACCTCAATTTTTTTTTTGAAAATTAGATATTTTGGGTAAAACAAAGCATCTCTATTCTGATCTGCCTATCAGGATTATCATTATTATTACTCTTAGTTTAAGTCTTGCCTGGCCTGATGCTGTGGACTATGGTTCCCTTACATTGTGCTGTTGCTGGCATCCCTTGTTTCTTTTTTATCTATCTATCTATCTATCTATCTATCTATCTATCTATCTATCTATATTTATTTATTTACTTTGAGGCAGGGTCTCTTTTTGCACTTCAGGCTAGCGCTTACTTTGTAGCCCAGGCTTACTTTGTCTCGAATTTGCAAGGAACTGCCTGCCTCAGCCTCCTGAGTGCTGGGATTACAGGCAAGCACCACCACGCTAAGCTTCCCTTGCTCCTTAAAAAAAAAAAAAAAAAAACTTTCTAGTTTTAAGCCTGGTTTAGCATGGCTTAGTGGCCAGAAAATGACTAGTCAGAGTTAGCCAGGAAGGTTTCTATCTTCTGTCAATGGGTCTATGCATGGCTTAAGGAATCAAAGTTTATCCAGTTTATAAGTCTTCCTAATATTTCATTGACTGCCTTCATAGAGCTTCACGTTGAGACATAAATTAGTGCTTGACAGGAATCTCTCTAGAAACATACACAGAGCCTTACACAAACACATAATCTTCTGGAAAGCCAGGGATAAGTGGAAGTTTATCAAGGCCAACTTTGGTTATTTTGTCCCTGGATCTTTATTACTTATAGCATGACTTAGGAATAAAACTAAACTAACACTGCAATCACAATTGCTGCACTAGCTCTGGAACTAGTATGAAAAACATTCTTAGGAAACATTTGAAAGGACTGAACACTCCATCCAAGTGTTGATACAAGAGTGGCAAGAATTATAAAGTCATCTCAAAAACATACAAGCAGAACTTTTCTATTTCCTTAACTCCTTCAACTGAAAGTTCTGAGGGACTGATAGTTACTGACATCACTTGGTGATCTATAATAAGAATTAATATTGAGGTTTTGGCAGACTTTTAAGTCAAGATTAGTGTCTGTAAAAATGTGGTCCTTATATTACCTGTACTGAAATTATCCATAACATTTGCTAAAATGCATTTTTTCCGATTTCATCCATATATAGAAATCAGAACATATAGGCACAAGAGGTCAAAATATAAATTTTTAAGAAGCAGCTCAAAGAATTTGTATTCAAAAATTTGAAAATTGGACTCATTCCTGTATCAACCCTACCCTTACTTCTCTACAAATCAAAAGTAGTTATATGGACTGAGCACCTGCAATTGGGACAGTGATTCATATGACAAATTAAGGAACAGCATTTTAAGAATAACAAAGAATTAAAAAAACTTCATTGAAGGTAACTTCTTTGAACTTGTATTTCCTCTGTGGATTCTTTCTCCTTCAAATTACTCTGTAATTCACAATTTACCTTAATCAAAGACCTAGTTTGTCTCTTCCTTGGGAGGCAGTAATTTTGGGAAAGGCAGTGACATTCATACTTATATTCTGAATATGGGGAAAAAGAAAATATCCTCATACATTCCCAGCTAATCCAACATAGCTTACCATGGTAAAGGCAGAGATTTGTATATAAAACCCAAGTTAGAAGTAAAATATATTACATTACTTGGAGTTCTTATATTGGTTCTGGAATCTCAGGAAGATAAAGGCCACACAGTAATCAGTAGTATAACGTTCAAAGATTCGGAGAAGTTTTGACTCCATATGCTCACAATTTACATTTTTTAACTCTACAATCTAGTGACACAGAGCATGCAAGTCTTCATGGAATTTGCTAGTATAAACTTGCAAAAACATCACTACCAACATTTCTGAAATTTTAGGCTGGAAGAACAGAATTTGCTTTTATGTCATTTATAGAAAGGTTTACTCACTGTGTAAAATTATGAAAACCAATTTTAAATTAGAATAAATGCAAAGTGTAACATGGATTTGCAGGGTTACCAAATGAAATCTTAAACCAGATGAAAAGCACTGCTTCATAATGCAACCATTAAAAATTATTAAATATCTTTTTTGGTTCAAGATTTCCCACAAAATCAGCAGATTAATAGACAGGTTATTTGTATACAGCAGTTCTAAGAAAAAGCTCAATGTCCTGCATCAGCTAAGCTCATACCTGTACTCAGGGTCACTGTCATAGGCACAGTCTCTGTACAAAAGACTTCTTTTCAGTTCTAGTTCTTCGTCTTTCTCTGTGTCTCTCTCATCCTGAAAAATTTAAAAGATTTTCATTAGCTCATTTGTTCACAGTTTTCAACAATATAATGCTTATGTTTCTTTGGGAAATACTCTTCTTCTGCATTTTACAATATTATTCAAATGCTTATATATCTTTAAAGAAAAGAAACAAGAGAATTTCTTATCTTTTTGTCTAGAATGATATAGCTTTACCAAAGACTAGGCATACAGCCTATATTTTTTGAAATAACAAATGAATGGAAATGGATGTGTCAAGATATGTAAATTAACAACATCTTACAAGTTGTTACATGAACTCCTAAACGACTGTACTTATTTGTGGGCATAAGTATACTTGCATCTACATAGGAAACTATATAGATCCAAATATAGATCTATGACTTATAAAGCCAAAATGCAACAACAAGCCAGAAAAGGCAAAAATAAAAGTTAACTGCATGCAAATTAATAGCTATTCCCTTTAAGGGACAACCTGTTCTTAATTTCTAACAGACACATAAAAGTCGTAACATTTTTTTGATTTTCTGAGATAGGGTCTCTTTATTTAGCCCAGGATGAACTTGAGTTAAGTGATCCTCCTGCCTCAGCCTCCTGAGTGCTGGGACTACAGGTATGCACTCAGCCAGCTTAAACAGGACATAAGAAACAGGATTCTGAGACACACATTTGTAAGCTGTATCATTTACAGTAAGTTCATGTGCATGGTAATTTTATATGATACAACAAAAAATATCTTTCCCAACTAGTTAGCCAATACTTTTAGTTCCTTAGTCACACAAGAACAGAAATGAAGGGAACTAATAACAAAAGGAACTAGTAAAACCAAGTAAAGATTAGTACTAATAAGGAGCTCACTTATATAAAAACAGCTGAAAATAGATAATACAGAAAAATGATTTTTAAAATGTGCTGATGACTTACTACTATGAAAAGGGAATTTACACTGCAAAACTATGAGCAATAAAAAGGACAAGTTTAAAAATCACAGAAAATGTCCGTACAAATTTAGAATTTTGACAGCTCTAAGTTTATTATAAAGTACTTCCCTTTATTTCTATTATTGCTTTTTTCTCTCTCCAGTTTTTGATCTATGATTAACATAAGTAAAGCAACTTTCTCTTATTTAGTACTTGAATGGTATTTATTTGTCTTTTTTATTTTTGAAACTTTCCTTTAGAATTTTATATTGCCTCGCATAAATTTGGAGCTGCATATTTTTATCCTAAGAAGTCAAAAAAAGTGGAGTATTTTCTCTACTGATAGCACAGAAAATGTAGAGGGCTACAATGAAAGTGTGGTAAAGGAAAGAACTAAATGGAATAGTTTACTTAAGAGGGAACTAGAACACAGCCACTAAAACTACTCACAGAGAGCCTGATACCCATTCAAAATTAGGGATCTTAGGGAGGGAAATTCTTCCCCTCTCCCCTAATAAAAAGCTTCTTGTCATGCTCTCCCTGTTCACCAGCTGCCACTGGGGACACTTACTTTTGGCAGGCAGCCAGCATGGGCTGGGAGAAGCAGCAAGACATGCCTCTGCAAACCCATGACTATGGGGAAGTCACAGCGTAACCATGCAGGTCTGGAGAAGCCTGCCTCACACTACTGCCTCCCCGGGAACCTGGGTTCAGGGAAACCCAGGTGCCTGGCCCATTGCCCTGTACCATGAGGGGCAGCCAATGCTGGAAGCACCTGGGAACCTACAACTGGGTCATCCAGAGGAACCCAGGAAAATGTCAAGACAAAGGAGCAAAATGCAGTCTCAGATCTCCAACGTACAGACCATGTCCAGGAGGCACAGAAGAAATTGGAAGTTGCATACCTGAGATTTCTGAAATGATACTGAACTCAAGAAATGACTTCATGAGGCTATAAAAGAAACTAGATCAGAAATACTATCTCAGGTAAAAGAAAAAACAACAATCATAATAAAATATTGTTGAGCATATGTAAAAAGGATACAGATTTAAAAAGGGCATAGAACAATGACAGAAACCTTGAATGAACAATATAGAAAAGAATCAGAATGCATGAAACAGATTCAAAGAGATATCCAGGAAACTAAAAACTCCATTGAAAACTGGCAAACTGCTTGAACAAAACTGAAGATAGACTTTCAGACCATGTAGACAGAATTGCAGCTAGCAATCATGAAAGGAAAGACTTCTTAAAAATAACAAGGAACCAGGAAATAGTAATTCAACAGTTGGAGAATGATGCAAAGAAAAATAATTTAACATTGATAGCTATCAGCAAAGAAGCAGTCAAGAGAAATGACATGAGAATATTTACAGAAATAATAGCAGAAAACTTTCCAGGTATGGGAAAAGTGAGGCATAGAGAACTCCAGCTAGCCATAAGCAAAATAAATCTACACCCACACATATAATAATCAAGATCCCAAAAATTCAGCTCAAGAACAGAACATCAGAAGTTGTTAGAGAAAAGAAACAGATCACCTAGAAAGAAAAACCCAACAGAATCATGGCAGACTTCTCAACAAAAACCATTAAGTCAAGAAGAGGCTGGAGTGAAATATTTCTTTCTTTCTTTCTTTCTTTCTTTCTTTTTTTTTTTTCTTTTTTTTTTTTTTGGTACCAGGGATTGAACTCAGGACCTTGTGCTTGCCAGGCAGGCACTTACACCACTGAACTAAATCCCTAGCTGGAGTAAAATATTTCAAGTCGTGAAAGAAAACAACTTGAAGATTGATATACCCTGAATAACTATCTTTCAAAATTAATGGAGAAGACACTTCCATGACAATGAACTGAAGGAATTCATAACCATAAACTAACTCTGCAAAGAATACTTAAGGATATTTTAGAGAGAGATAAAGATGATCACAGTTCCATGAACAGCAGCAGAGGGGAATCGCTGAGCAGGCCAGGCAATTGAATGCAGGGGAAAAGTAGGGGGGCCAATGACAGGAGAAGAGCATGGCAGAGATGAGCCGATGCATGCACAGCTAGAGAAAAGAAACAGATCACCTAGAAAGAAAAACCCAAGAGAATCATGGCAGACTTCTCAACAAAAACCATTAAGTCATAGTAATATAGATGGACTCAATTCACCAAAAAAAGAAATACAGGCAGAGTGGATAAACAAAAAAGATACATCAATGTGCTTGCATACAAGAAACACATTTAACTTGAATATAGATGGACTCAATTCACCAAAAAAAGAAATACAGGCAGAGTGGATAAACAAAAAAGATACGTCAATGTGCTTGCATACAAGAAACACATTTAACTTGAAAGGAAATTCATAGACTGAAAATAAGAGAGAAAACAATGCTCTATGTGACCAGGAACCAGAAAAAAGCTGGGGTAGCTTGCCCATCAACTGCAGAATGGATAAAAAAAGATATGGTACAATAGAGAGCTACTGAGTTATAAAGAATAATAACCTCGGGGCTCCTGTAGGTAAACGGATGCAACTTGAGATCATGTACATGAATGAAATGGTTTGACTTACCGGGGTAAACATCATATTATCTCCCTGATATAAAAAATTGACCTAGAGGGATCCAAAATGTACACTAGATATTATGAAAGTGAAAGGAGAGAAAACAGCTAAAAAGGGCAGGGAGTAGCCATTGCTAATTTCCTATTATCTTGTTTTGGAGTCCTGTATTGTTTTCAGTGTTTTGTTTTGTTGTTTTATTCTGCTTTGTTTTGTTTGATTCTGTTACATCTGATGGTATGGACTACTATTTTGAAGATAAACAAGATATATTATGGTACTCGTTGATTTCCTATTATCTTGTTTTGAAGTCCTATATTGTTTTCATTGTTTGGTTTTACTGTTTTATTTTGTTTGATTATATTATGTATGATGGTATGCGCAGCTATTTTAAAGATAACAAGATATATTATGGTAGCCATTGATGATTTCCTAGTATCTTAAAGGCCTGTATCACTTTTATTATTTGTTTTGATAGATTTTATTCTTCTTTATTTTGTTTGAATTTATTCTCTTAAAAGAAAAAAGTTGCTTGTGAGTCCTTGTCATAATTTTTTAAAAAGATCAAGTTGAATAATGGCAAACACGCAACAAATACACTTTTTTATAAGCTATTAACTGTATGCTGGTATCACTTTCTTGTTTCATTGCATGTCTCACAATTTTCTGTTGAAATCTGGAGATTTTATAGTATGACATGGTATATCTTGAAATCAGGTATTTTTTAAAAATGTTTTTTGATTCTTTAAAATTTTATTTATCAATTATTTTCATGGTGCCTATACTTCTTTTATTTTTTTAAATTTTATTTAAAGAAAGACTAAACAAAACAGAAAAAGAGTAGAAATAATACATACTTTCAAAGAAAAAATAAAGAGTAAGAAATCACTAGGTGATGATTACATTTTGTCCTCTTACAAATAGTTGTACAAGTCACAAAAGTCAAGCATACAAAGTGGGGATTCAAACTGCGAGACTGCAAACAGTTTTGTTCAACTATCCAACAAAAACTTAGTAATATAGTTATCAATCCTCTACACTTAAACATACATGCAGTTATCCAAACCTTCATTTATGGTAAGATTAAACAAACTAAAGCAGACTAAAATTACTCTGAACAAAGAATAACAGTGTCGCTGGATTTCACATCATGACACTGCAGAATCAGCACTAGGTACTGTAATGTCTCTTTTTCTTCAAAGTAGTTTTTCATTGCAGCAAGTGTTGTAAGATCAGTTCTCGTAAACTGTTTATAGGTTCTACGTATGCATGAGTCTCAACATATATTTCTATCTTTTCTACATTAGAGGGAGAAACAAAACAAAGCAAGACAAAACAAAACATATTCCTATAAACACATGAAATGAAAGTCATATAAAACCACTGTTCAAGGAGTTCTACAATGGTTACTGTGCTGTCTCTTGTTATCTTCAATGGAATTGCCTATATCATCAGACATATAGTATAATTGAATATAGCAGTACATAACAATATTAATAAAAAAATTTTGGAGGTAGCGTAAAGCTTCAAAAACAGGTAATAATCAAACCAGAATGCATATTGTAGTGAATCTTGTCTTCTTCAGTGTAGTTGCCTATACTCTCAGACTTGATACTATCAATCATAATAGTTTTG